GTGTGTGTGTGTGTGTGTGTGTGTGTGTGTGTGTGTGTGTGTGTGTGTGTGTGTCTGTGGCTGATCTGTGTATGTGGATGGATGTTTTGCTTGCCTGGATATTTCTGCTCTACATGTGAGCTGTTTACCTTTGGTGGCCAGAAGAGGGCATCAGATTGCCTGGAACTGGAATTACAGATGGTCGTGAGCTGCCTGTGGGTGCTGGAGAGCAAGCCTGGGTCCTCTGGAAGAGCAGCCATTGTTCTTCTTAACCAGCTCTCCAGCTCCGGGAGTTGATTCTTGTTCTAGCCGGGAGAGAAGGGTCAAGTTTCATTCTTCTACGTGTAGACATCCAGTTTTCCTAGCATCAGTTTTTGAGATGCTCTTTCTTCCTGTGTGTATTTTTGGTGTCTTTTTTAAAAAATCAGGTGGCTGTAATTGTACAGTGTTAATCTAGGGTTTCCATTCTGTTGCACTGATCCGCTGGTTTACCATTTGTGGTAAATCTCCAACCCAAATAAGCTCGGGCAAGGAGAACACAACTCAATTATTCTGAACACAAGCTGCACACCTAGATTGGGCAGATCTACCACTACACTGCCATCTTCCCCAGCTATGAGATCCCTTATAACTTGCGGTTTCTCCAGGCCATGTGCCTCTGCTCCACTTTCCTTCTACCTCCTGCTCCTCCTCTGCCAAACTTTTTGTTTTTTGTTTTTTCGAGACAGGGTTTTTCTGTGTAGCCCTGGCTATCCTGGAACTCACTCTGTAGACCAGGCTAGCCTCGAACTCTTGAACTCAGAAATTCTCCTGCCTCTGCCTCCCAAGTGCTGGGATTAAACGTGTGTGCCACCACTGCCCTGCTAAGTTTTTTGTCTTTTAAGACAGGGTCTCACTTTGTAGTCTTGGCTGGCTAGGAACTCAGTGTGTAGACCAGGCTGGCCTCAAACTCACAGAGGTCTGCCTATCTGCCTCCTGAGTGCTGGGGTTTAAGGCTTGTGCCACTGGGCCTGGGATTTTCTCTGATTTTAAAGTTTTTATTGTAGAGGTTCTTTACCTCCTTGCTTGGGTTTTTTTCTGAGATATTTTGCTTACTGAGGCTGCTATAAATGGGATTGTTCTCTGATTTCTTCTTCAGCTTGTTTGCCATTTGGTGTTAGTAATCTGTCTAAACTCCACCTCCACAGTTACCTGGCAACAGCCAGGTATGCTCCTCCCCACAGTTACCTGGCAACAGCCAGGTAGGCCTGCCCACTATAAAAGGGGCTGCCTGCCCCCCTCCTCAGTCTCTTGCTCCCTTGCCCCTCACCTGCAGGTTCTCTCTGCTCCTTGCCCCTCCCCCCTCCCTTCACCCTCTCTCCCCATGATCACAGCCAGCCTCTACTCCTATACTTCTGCTCTCTCTCTTCTCTCCCCCCACCATCTTCTTCTGCTCCTCTCCCCACCTTTGCCCTTTGCCCTGAATAAATCCCCTCCCCTCGTGAAACTGTTTGGTCTGGTGTTGTCTGTCTAAGCTGCATGCCGAAATCTTTCAATTGATATAAAAAAGCATCCCATGTTTGTATCCTGACACTGCAGAACGTTAGTAATCCTAGGAGCTTTCTGGTGGCGACTTAAGGGTCTCCCCAGTAAAGCGTTATATTCTCTGTAGATAGGAACAAGCTGACTCCTTCATTTCCTAGCTATATTCCTTTCCCATCTTGTTCGTATTGTTTTAGCTAAGACTAAAACACCAAATTGATGGCCCTGTCTCCTTTCTAGTTTTAATGTTGGTATTTGTTTGGCAGGGTCTCATTATTTAGCCCAGGCTGGCCTTGTAGCCCAGGCTAGCCTTGAATTCTTCCTGCTTCATCCAACCAAGTACTGGTATTACCAGCACACTGGGTTTATAAAAAGGGTTTTGTTTTTGTTTTTGTTACTGTTTTTATGTCTTTTTTTTTCTCTGCACTCACATTGCCCCTCTGTGGTTCTGGAGATCATACCCAGAGTCTCATGTATGCTGGGCAGCTGCCCACCACTGAGCTGCATCCCAAGCCCCTTGTGGAACTCAGTGCCCAGCTTCATACCCACTGCCTCAGCCTCTCAATCTTCCAAAGGAAATTGGGGAAATGGAAATATCTAAAAGAAAATGGATTTATTTACAATTTTAGGTGAACAGGGATGACGAAAAAGGTTTTGGGTTCCTTTTAGATGTTCCTGAATCAGGGTTTACATGTAGCCAGGACCCAGCTGTTTGGCTGTCATCACAACTTTGAGACTGTCTGTGAGGATGCCATTCTTGATGTCCACACTTCAAGCTCAGGATGGAAGCTTCTAGGCAAATCCTAGCTGCTCCGCTCATCCCCAGCTCCTGCTAGTCTTGTGCTAAGTTTGCTATCAAAGCTCTACACATAAGAGGCAAACAGAGGTGGCTAGGAACAGTTGCTGCGTATCCTGTTAGGGACAAGATGCTTTGTGGGAACAGACAGCTTCAGGAGTGTCACCTTGTCTCTGCTCCAGGACCTGCCTCCTGGGGAAGTGGATCAAGAGCTGATTGAAGACGGACAATGGGAGGAGATCCTGAGGCAGCCGTGCCCATCGCAGTACAGTGCTATTAAGGAGGAAGACGTAAGGTCCATCTGCATGCTTTACTCTCTTAGTCTGGGACTGCTGCCACTGGGAAGGAAACACAGTTTGTCCATAGGACAGAAAGTGTGTGGTTACAAAATAGGGACAGCCAGTCACCGAGGCCGCCAGAGCCAGCAGAAGTAGCAGGGACCACATAGATATGTAACCAACCGACCCTCAGCTCAATATCTTCTGTAGATTTCCTCTGTCTTCTGAAACCATTATTAAAAGTAGTTGTAATACGAGTCTTAGCTGTTAGGTAGATTTGGTAAGAAAGCATTGTGTGGGCAGTGGGGCTGGCCATTTCTGAAAACCATAGACATCCTGTCAGTTGGACTGGAGAGGTGAGTTAGCAGTTAGGAGCATTGGCTCCTTTGGTGAGGATCCATGCTCAGCTCTCAGCAGCCATATTGGGTGGCTAGCAGCTGCCTGTTCCTTCAGCTCCAGGGATCCTGGTTTTAAATGACCAACATTGCACTTACAGAATAATTACTCTGAGGGATAAATTCTGTTCTGTGGGAAGAAGGATAAAAGGATCACAAAACATGACATCAGAAACCACCCCCTGTACTGAGAGTGTATGAAAGGGTACTCAGAGTCGTGTTAAGTCCTGAGCCAGAGGGATCTCTCCATTAGTCTAGCACCCGGTTCATAAGCATTCCATTTCCTAGTCACTGTGATTTGTGTCCTTAATCAGCATCGACAGGCCAAGCATGGTGGCATGTACCTATAGTCCTAGGCAGAGGCAGGTGATCTGTGAGTTTGAGGCCAGCCTGGTCTGTGTAATGAGTTCCAGGACAGTCAGGGCTATGTAGAGACATTCTGTCTTAAAAACACCAAAAAGAAAAAAACAATTAAATTAAAAAAAAAATCACCACTTACATATTTACATATAAATGAGTAACAACTTTACAATGTTCAAACTATTCTCAGTGCCTTGTAGAAATCTTTCCCTGTAGTGCCATCTAGAGCTAAGTTAAGTCATGACTTTGTGCTTAATGTTCAAGTTACAGCTTACAGTGGACATTTACCAGCTAAGTATTATAAAACTTGCAAGGGTTCTTAAGTCAGTCTTCTGTTTACTTTAAAAGGACTTACTCCAGGATTATGAGGCTTTTTTGACAATTACAAAGCTGATGGTGTTGCCATCCATAATAATGTGTTCAAATGTCTTAAAAAGGAGTGTTTTTAATCTGTTTAATTCTCTCTGAATTTTACATACTTACTGTGGATATTTCCTCTTCCCCCCCCCCCCATTTTTGTTTTGCAGCTTGTGGTTTGGGTTGACCCCTTAGATGGTACCAAGGAGTACACTGAAGGTCAGTGTCCCCATCCACATGTCCTGTACTGAGGCAAGGCTGTGATGCACAAATGTGCCCTTCTCTGTCAGATGGAAAGTTGCTATTGTGTTCTGTCATCATCCATGAACAGTAACCGGAAGAGTTCATCTTCAGTTACCACTTCACATACTCTGCCAGCTCCAATTCTGAGGCCCCCTCATGGAAAATCATAGTTGTAAACTGTCTTCCCTGAGAGACTGTGCGAAACCTATGTTTTACTGGGCTAGAGAAGTGCTCCATCACACCCTGGTCCCATAGCATCCCCTCACCTGAGGTTGTCAAGAGTAAGAAAAACCAGAAAGTATCGAGTTAAAACCAGAGGCATAAAAATCAGGAGGAGTTGTGTGGGAAAATAGGCCTCAGCGGTGGTGTAGTCCCGGAGGCTTTTCTTGCGGCAGGTCCCACAAACAGGAGAAAGTCTAAGGTTCCAGAGGCTAGAGGCATTGGCGACGGCAGGCCCCAATGACACGAGGAAGTCCTTGGTTCCAAAAAGGGTTTATTTTCATGGCGGCGGATGGAGATGGATCTAGATGTACCCCCTGAAACTCAGGGCAGACCTGAGTTAAATAGGGAGGGGGGAGGGGGAGGATCTGGGGGAGAATGCTTAATTTGCTCCGCCCTCTGGCCTTCATTACTATGTAAATCTCTCTAGGGCCTGAGGTCTGTAGTCACGCCCTCTACCTGGGCACTTTGGGAGGGGCTGTAATGGCCTACGTGACTGAACAATGTAGGTCTATGGAGACTAGACTGCATATCAGGACCCTGGGTTCTGGGAACATGGCCGAACACCTGCTGTTTCTCCCTTGGAGTCTCAGGGTTCCAGACCCATGCCCAACCATGAACCAAGATACCCTCACGAAGTCCCACTGAGTTGTATGATAGCTCATACCTATAATCTCAGCAAACTGAGGCAGAGGGACTGTTCTGAGTTTGAGGCCATCTTGAGTGATGTATATGGTAAGACCTGGGTCAGCCTGAGTTAGAGAAAGACCTTTCAAAAGCAAGGCAGAACATTAGTCAGAAGCACCTCAGTCTCAGAGCCAGACTTCAGGTTTTAAAAGCCTAGCGTTGTAGTTTTGAAATAAACATCTGCATCAAGAACTTGTGAAGCTGAGACAGGAAGACTGTGAGATCAGCCTGACCTTCATAGTGAGTTCTAGGTCAGCCTGAGATAAAGGGGCAGTGTGAGGCCAGAAAGACCCCAGAAAGACCTCCACATCGTTTCTTCTCGTGGTTCCCAGCTTCATGGGGCTTTCTTATAACTGTTAGAGAGAATGTTCTCAGCCCTTGGAGGAGATAGAGTGATAGTGACTCTGTGTGTGTGTGTGTGTTCTGTGAGAGTGCATGTGTGCAGCATGCATATGTACTGTTAGGATGAGTGAGAGGCAGTGTGTTCACATGTGTGTGTACATATTTATGTGTGTCTATGAGTGTGACCCATGCCTATGTACTCTAGGGGGTGTACATATGTACTCTGTGTGTGTGAGAGACACGTACATGTACTGTGTGTGCTGAAAACATCTCTAAAGCCCATTGGGAAACAGGAACTCTACCCTAGAGCTTTGATTAACCACTGGTTCAGGGAAGGGGAGTCCTGCATGCCACAGATCACCACTGTCACATGCTACAGACCACCACTGTCACATGTTGCAGATCACCACTGGGTGATCCAGTGCCATGTGATGATCTCTAGTCCCAAAGCTGGAAAGTAAGTCTGGGGAGGAACTCAGTAGTAGTAGTAGTCTGGTCCTGAAGGTCAGGGCACACTGGATGACACTGGATGACATAGAAGAAGCATGAGACATCTAGTAACGGCTTTGCCACTGTCACTTTAATGGGTTTGCAAACAACTAAGGAGAGTGTGTGGTTGTGGTTATCGATTCAGTTTAGTGGCCGTAATCCCCACTTCTGCCCCTGTCCAGTTTTCTTAGGCTTGTGCACTTGCCTCAAGTAGAGTTGTCCATGGGTGAATCATTGTAAATCCCTTACCTTTACTGAAAAAACGACTAGCAGTCAGGTGTGCTGCACACACCTTTAATCTTAGCACCAGGGAGGCAGAGGCAGGCGGATCTCTGAGTTTGAGGTCAGCCTGGTTTACAGAGTGAGTTACAGGGCTACACAGGGAACCTGCCTGGAAAAACCAAAAACGATGATGATTGTGATGATGGCGGTGGTGGTGGTGGTGGTGAGGAGCAACAGGAGGAGGAGGAGGAAGAAGAGGGGGAGGGGGAGGGGGAGGAAGAGGAGGAGGAGGAAGCTAGCAGCTGTTGTTTGATGTACTGGTGATAAACAAGAACCTGGGAGAGTGACTTTCTTCTCTCCTTCATAGGTCTTCTTGACAATGTAACAGTTCTCATTGGGATTGCTTACGAAGGAAAGGCCATTGCAGGCATCATCAACCAACCATATTACAACTACCAGGTACTGCCACCAATGATACAAGAGTGTTAGATGCATGATTATAGTAGGTCTAATGAGGCCAGATGCCATCCAGTCCAGATGTCATCTCTCCCGTTTGCACAAGCAGCCACTTGGGGACGGGTTTCTCGGGGTACAGATTCCCAGGCTGCTGTTCACCTATTAGACTAGAACTTTCTGAAAGTACTGGGGCCAGGAATATAGATATGGGTAAATGGACTGTGTGTACTGAACTGTTATATACTTATAATTCAGTTGCAGTGGTTCTGAAATTACACATTTGGTTCTTGATTCGCATAGTCATCAAGACTCGTGGTTTACAGGTAGTTCTTGAAGCACATTTGAAGAAACAAACCACATCAACAAAGAAGAGCTGCTAGCCTGTTGCCTCCCAAGTAACACTGTGTAGCACCTGAAGCACTGTCAGTCCAGTCAACCAGCTAGAGATGCTTGTCATCCCTTCTTCCTGTGTTTCTTCCAACCTGCTTTGACTTTCTGCTGTGCTTCAGAGACACTGTCTCCTTTAGAAACAAGAGATTAGTAAAATTTCAGAGTAAGAAGATATCATTGAATTTTAAAGAAATCATTGAAGTAAAATATTTAGAGTTTTCATATTAGTGTGGAAGTTAATGAACTTTGGAAAACAAACTAAGCAGAGTGGGGTCTGTCACTTCTGAGTATCTAATCCATGGTTGTTCAGTTGTAACTAAATTTATTAGTAACCTGCTGCTTATATGATTAGGAATTGGATTTATTTCTTGGGGTTTCCCAGAATGACTCTGCATTGTTAAGCAAGTCATTCTGAAGTGCTCAGGTGAATCCCTACAGTGTGGCTCTGCTGTCTGCACAGTGGTACATGTGAGTGCAGGTTTGTAGTTTTAACCTTAGTCCTTAAAAGAAGAGAAAAGGTATGTATGGCCCCTTCATCTAAACTAGAGATGTAAGTACTTAGGAATTGTTAATGATTTTCATCCCTTATGTCTGAGACTAGAAAACTTGTATTCATTTTCCACAGAACAATGAAAAGGAGAAGCTCAGGGAGCACAGGAATGAAGCAAAGGTGAGACACAGCTAGCTCTGGTTCCAGGTCTAGGGAGGAAAGAGGCAGGCACTGTGGCCCCCAGCCTGTCCTGGGAACTGGCTCGTTTCCTCCTACTCTGGCCTCCTCTTCCTTCTCCTAGTGCTGTATTCTCTCGCCCTCTTTGCCCTCTGTGTGCCTGATCGTGTGTTGCAACAAGTAGAGGCGGAACGTTGGCTGCTGCTGGTATCTAAGGTTGGCCTAGTCATAGTCATCAGAGTAGCTGAAGTTTCTCAGGCACTCGCTGTGATTCACATTGTCAGCTCCTGGAATACTCGCCGCTTAGCTATACCTAGTAAAGAAAGGGATACTAAGTGACCTGCTGATGCAGGCTGTAATCTCAGACCCTCAAGAAGCTGAGACCAGCCTTGCGGTGGTGGCGCATGCCTTTAATCCCAGCACTTGGGAGGCAGAGACAGGCGGATTTCTGAGTTCGAGAGTTCGAGGCTAGCCTGGTTTACAGAGTGAGTTCCAGGACAGCCAGGGCTACACAGAGAGCCCTGTCTCAAAACCAAGAAAAAAAAAAAAGAAGCTGAGACCAGAACATTGTAAGTTCAGGGGATTCCTAGGCAATAGAACAAGCTCAAGACCAGCCAGCAACTAAGTGAGACTGTCACAAAGTAAATGTAAAAGAAGGCTGGGGATGTGATTCAGCGCAGTCGAGTGCTCAGAATTCTGCTTCTACCTCCTACATGTTGAATTAAAGCCTCTTGAGCATCTAGAGCCACCATACAGCCCATGGAACTTTCCAGACTCCAGGTCTACAGTATAGTCTAGAGGAAAGAGGGGAAGCACACTGACATTCCAAGCAGCTAATCGTTGGTTTTGGTTCCTCTGTTGCCCCATGGCAGGAGGCACAGACAGCCATTGGTCTTATCAGAGAATGCCTCCCCGGAGAAGAGCCTTCCCACCTGGGTCTGTTTCCCATAACTAGAAAGTGCAGGTGTATAAATGTCTGGCATTTCCTTCTGACTTGGGGCCACACAGAGGGCTGCCTGATCTCTAGTGTTCTCAGTCACAGCAGGGACTGTCACCTAGATCTCTGCAGCCCATGTTCCTTCTCCCCGCACTGTTGCCTTCTGTAGATGCTGATCCCACACACATTCCTTGTCAGCCATCCCCCAGCCCACACTCTGTTTCCCAGAACACACAGCCTGTAGCATAACCCTATTTTGCCCTGCAAGTACCAGTGTACTTCCCTAGGACAAAGGAGTGATGACTTTGAAAACATTTGGACAAGTTAGCTAGGGTTCCCCATGTCTGCTTTGATTGGTACAGTGACACTAACCTGTGGTCCCACCTACTTGGGAGGTAGAAGCAGGAGAATCATTTCAAGGCCATCCAGGGCAATGTAGTGAGACCCCCATCTCAAAAACAATGCAGGGCAAAAGCAGAACAGCTTTTCAGAACTGCAGAGCTGGCTCAACAGTTCGGAGCACTTGCTGCTTTTTCAGAGGACCCAGGTTGGGTTACCAGACCCACATGGCTGCCCACAGCTATCTGGAACTCGAGTTCGAGGCACATATGGTACACAAAAGTACAAACACTCATACACATAAATTAAAGATAAGTCTTTTTGAGGCCAGCCTGGACTATGTGGTTCCAGGTCAGCCATGGCTGCATAGTGAGACTGACTCCAGAAATAAAATGGAGCCAATGAGCTTGACTTTGACAGGAGCTTCTAGCCTCAGTCAGTTTGTTAACTGATTCCAGGTCTCCTTGTTAACAATAATGGTATCTACCCATGGGGTTGCTTTGAGGATCAGATGCACTAATGCATGCATAAAGAACTTAGTGTGGTTCTAACACAGCCATGTCAAGTGAGCCTGTCCTCACTGTGCACCCACCGCCCAGGTTAAGATGATCCTGGGTCGAGTTTGTTGTGTTAGCATCAATTTTACAAAACAGTAGAATATGTTTTCTACATGAAAGAGTTATTTAGCAATGTGGTTGAAAGGTCTTTGAGCTCCACAGAGGAGAATACAGACTCTAAGATTGTATTGTCACTGCCATTCTATCAGAGAAATTATCATTAAACCTTAGCCCCATTTCCACTGGCCATGGCTTCAGCAGAGTGCAGCCTCCCTTAGGTGACATGGTTCCTATTGTCCCTGAATAATGACAATAAGGATCAGTACACAGTTCCACTTCCTGGAGCGCTGGTGTCGTTTAGAAGTGGCCATTTTCAGTTTAACAGACAGATCAGTGGATGATTTCAAAAGAAATAGCAGTCGAATTATGAAGGTCGCTTTCCTTAGGATTTTTTAAAAACTGTTGACCAAAGCAATAATCAAATTATTGTCAGGACAAATTATTTGTCTATTTACTGTCCTTATATTTTATACAGTTGTGTGTGTTTAACTTTTGAAACTAAAGAACATGTCCTATATTGCAAACTCGGTAACTTGAACTAAGTGCAGCTGGCTGACTGTTCCCTTTGTGGCTGGCATCTTCCCCCAGTGACAGTGAGCCTTCTTGTCATCTCACACAGGCGGGACCTGACGCTGTGCTGGGCAGGACCATCTGGGGAGTCCTGGGTTTGGGTGCTTTTGGGTTTCAGCTGAAAGAAGCCCCTGCTGGGAAGCACATCATCACAACCACCAGATCCCATAGCAACAAGCTGGTCATAGACTGTGTGTCGGCCATGAACCCTGACAGCGTGCTGCGAGTGGGAGGAGCAGGAAACAAGGTACAGAGAAGATGTGCCATTGGCTCTGAAGTATACTGTCACTGAATGAAGTGCTGAGCTTATAAAAATGTGAAGTAAACTGAGCCTGGTGGTACAGGCCTGTCACCACAGCTCCTCAGAGAGCAGAAGCAGGAGGGCCAAAGGTTAGAGCTGGCCTGGGCAACTTAGTAAGACCGTCTCAAAACGAAAACTACAAAAAGAACTGGGGACAAAGCTCCTTGGCAGGGCGTTTGCTTGGCAGCTTTGAGTCCCTGAGTGCAATCTCCAGCGCACGCACACACACACACACACACACACACACACACACACAGAGGAAGTAAAATAAAAGTGGAAAAGAATTTGCCTATTACATAGTTTGCTACTGATAACACATTTAAAGTTACAGAAAGGGGTAAGGTATGTCTCAGTTGTACAACACGAAATTTAGCATGAACAAGACAGAGGGTTGGAACCCAACATGAAAAAAAAAAAAAAAGAAGAGTTCTCTCTTTCATATGAGATAACACCATGTTGGTTGCTAAGAAGCTTAGCTCCCAAGAGTCCTCCTGGATTCTTTGTAGACTTTCCTTATATAGACTCGGAGCATGGGCCTGCCTGTCTCCTTTCTGCTCCTCTTCCATTCTCTCAGCCAGGCTTCCAGCCTCCTCAGAGGATCAGGAAATGGGACACAATTCAATCTACTCCACACCCTTGATCTCTTTCTCTCATTGTACCCTGGTGTCATGATGTCATCCTGGTGATACCACTCAGCCCCTCACACTCATCACGTCCAGATGGAGCTAGTCACCCTTCCACTTGCACCCCACATGCTACTTGAGTGACATCTCCATTTTCATAATTATACCTTCCAGATACTGAGTCTCCTTCCTTCTGTATACCCCATCAACCTACCTGTGTACTTAATCTTTCCCTGAAACCTCTCCTTTTGCCTACCTAAGTGGCCAGTTGAGACTTACCATCTTCCCTCAGAGTACTAGTATAGCCTCCTCCAAAAGTGGTCCAGTTCTTCACAGATACCAGTAAGGCAGTTAGATGAAAACAGCAGCCAAGTGTGGCGCTGCATGCCAGCAGCCCTAACACTGGAGACAAAGGGACAGGAGGAGCAGAAACTCTAGGTTGCCTAAAAATTCAAGTTTGGGCTACAGGAGCCTCTGTTTCAAAGAAACCAAATAATACCAATCAGTAGTAATGATTCATATTTTAGTATGGGAAGAGCAGTAGATAAGGGTCCAAAGCCCCTGGAAGGACTGTTGGACTGGTCAGTGCCACCCAGCTGCTAGACTTGTCCACTGTGGTGCTGTTGAATATTTCTCTATTACTAAGTATTAGTCAGTAATCTAGAAGAAGTTCTTGTCCAATAGTGAGTATTTGTATCCTTAAGAAACCCCACGTGAATAAGAAAGGTTGATGAATTGATGAAATGTCTTTAATTGGCACAAGCAGTTTTTTTTTCAGGCAGCTCAGCCATTACATGATGGGTGATAACTGATGTTTTTAACCTTCAGATTATCCAGCTGATTGAAGGCAAAGCCTCTGCCTATGTATTTGCAAGTCCTGGATGTAAGAAGTGGGACACTTGTGCCCCAGAAGTTATCTTACATGCTGTGGGAGGTTAGTCCATCTGATCTTGGAGAATGTGGCTTTTGTATTGCACTCAGGCATTGTTTCAGCATTGTCATCTTATGTGCATGGGTGTTTTCTCTGCATATATGCCTGTACATGTCGACATGCATGCACATGTATGTGTACCACATGCATGCCTGGTGCTCTTGTCTAGAAGAGGGTGTCAGACAGACAGTTGTGAGCCTCCATGTGGTTACTAAGAATCAAACCCACATGCTCTGAGAGAGTAGCCTACGAATGCGTTAAATTTCTGAACCATCTCTTCAGCCCTCAATTAGCATTCTTTACCTAGACTCCTAGAGTGCAAATGTTGCAGGGAAGCCTGCTATGATCCTATCCACCATTCTTTACTTAGCAAGGAACATTTTCAACTAACTTAATTTTCTTTATATTGTTTGGGAAGAGCAGATTTGCATATTCATACAGTTATATTAGCTCTTATTTTGTTATTTTTGCTGTTTGTTTGTTTGTTTGTTTGTTTTATTAAGTCAAGGTCTCACTGTATCCCTGGCTCCCCTGGAACTCATTATGAAATCTAGGCTCAAAAATTCAGAGCACTTTGCAGAGAACATGAATTCAGTTCCCAACTGTCTGCTGTCTGGTGATTTACAATTACCTGTTGTTCTAGCTTTGAGATGGCCTCTTTTAACTTTTGATGGCACACATGTACATATGAGAGAGAGGGAGGGAGGGAAGGAGGAAGGGAGAGAGAGAGAGAGAGAGAGAGAGAGAGAGAGAGAGAGAGAGAGAGACAGAGAGAGACAGAGGGAAAGAGAGAGGTTTTAAAAAGATAATGTTAAGAATTAGAAAACAGGTGATGGGCTAGGGTTATAGCTCAGAGGTCAGAGGTAGAGTGAGTGCCTGGCCAGCATGTGTGAGGCCTAAGTTGTGTGTTATCTTAACAGAAGCTAGAGTCATCTGAGAGAAGGGAACCTCAGGAGACAATGCCTCCGTAAGATTGGGCTGTAAGCAAGCCTGTGGGGCAGTTTCTTAATGAGTGATTGGAGAGGGCCCAGCCCATGGTGGGTGGTGATACCCTCACTTGTGGTCCTGGGTTTTATAAGAAAGCAGGCTGAGCAAGCTAACAAGCAGCACTCGGCTCTGCATCAGCTCCTGCCTCCGGAGAGTCCTGCTCTGTTTGAGTGCCCACCTTGGCCTTTCTCAGTGAACTGTGACTGAGGATAAATAAGCCAAACAAACCCTTTCCTCCCCAACCTTTTCCTTTCCTCTCTGCATTTGCTCTTGGTATTTCGTCATAGCAGTAACCATGACTAGGACAGACAGACAGAAAAGGTTTTGGAAAGAATACATTATAATAAGAAAAGTTGATACCAAGAAATTCAACTCTGTGGCTGGAGAGATGGCTCAGTGGTTAAGAGAATGACTGTTCTTACAGAAGACTGAGGTTCAGACCCCAACATCCACAGTGGCTCACAACCATCTATAAATTCCAGTTCCAGTGGATCTGGTGCCCTCATCTGACTTCTAAGGGCCCTAGGCACTCATGTGTTCCACAATACACACATGCAGGCAAAACCCTGTATATATAAAATAAATCTTCTTTTTTTTTTTCCCTTAACTTTAACTCTAATAAATGTTTTTGTTTGTTTTTTGGGGGGTTGGTTGGTTGGTTGGTTGGTTTATTTGTTTTTTCAAGAGAGGGTTTCTTTGTGTATCCTGGCTCTCCTGGAACTCACTCTGTAGACCAGGCTGTCTTTGAATTCAGAGATCCTCCTGCCTCTGCCTTCCAAGTGCTGGGATTAAAGGCCTGTACCACCACTACCAGTAATAAATAAATCTTAAAAAAAAAAAAATAAGAAAGACATACAGACGTGAGAGCACAGGGCTCAGTGGTAAGCCTCACATTTGGCATACTGCATACCGGAGGCACTGGCTTCAATCTCTAGTTCCAAAGACATGGGGGTGAAATAGGCCTGTAATCCTATTACAGGCAAGATCACGGCAAGTTCCTAGCCAGCCAGGGCTTTATAGTGTATAGTGAGATCTTAAATCAAGCCTGGGCAACTTAGACTTTTCTCAAAATTTAGACTTTTTCTCAAAAATAAAAACAAAAAAAGAAAGCTGGGGACATAGCTTCATGGTAGAGTGCTTGCCCGATGTGCACGAAATAGGTTCAATCCCCTACAAACATTCTACAAACTCACAAACATTCTACAAACTCATTTAAGAATAGAGTGGCTTAGCACATAGTTCAGGAGTAAAACATATGCTTAGTGTGAGCCCTGGGGTTCAGTTCTCTCCCATCCCAGACAAAAGCCCTTGAAACATCCTGATCCAACTGTCCACTGACTTTGTGTGATGTTCTTCTGCAGGGAAGTTGACAGACATCCACGGGAATGCCCTGGAGTACAACAAGGAGGTAAAACACATGAACTCGGCCGGAGTCCTGGCCGCACTGCGGAACTACGAGTACTATGCAAGCCGAGTTCCAGAGTCCGTCAAAAGTGCACTTGTTCCCTGAAGAGGTCTTACTTATTTACCCAGGGACCTCGGTTCAAAGGAACACATCTAGAACTGATTAACTGGTTGAACAATTAGCGTTCCGCCTAGTTCATCATTGATCAGTGATTTATTAATAGTTATGGATAGAAGTTGGAATTAAACAATTTTCTTCATATTGTCTAATACCCTCAAGACTTAGGTATATGATACGATTGTCGTTTCTCCTGCCTAAAAAAAATTAGTCAGGTGTAGTGGCACTTACAATAGTCATAGCTATTCTAGTGGTTGAGCTAGAAGGATTGCTTGACCCAGGGCCTTGGGACTAGCCTCCATTACATAGCAAGAAAAAGGAATTTACTTTTTCTAATTAGCTAACTAGACCCATTTTTTTTGGGGGGGGGGTAGCATTTGTTTTTGTTTTTGCTTTTTTTGAGACAGAATTTTTCTGTATAGCCTTAACTTGTCCTGGAATTCGCTCTGTAGATGAAGGTGGCCTTGAACTCAGTGATTCTTCTGCCTCTGCCTCCTGAATGCAGGAATTAAGGCTTGCCCCTCCACACCTGGCTCAAATTTTTTAAGCAAAGAAATGAAAAAGGATTAGTTCCAAATGACTGTCCAAGTCATTTGTACAATAAACATTCCTGCTGATAAACTAGATTTCTTCAGGGCACAGAATCTTAAGTTACTCCAGAGTTTTAGTTTTATTTTGTTTTCACAGTAATTGTTTAAATTTCTGATTCCAAGTGAGAATGCATATAATGATATTATTTATGTTGATAGATTTATGGAGAAAGTGTCTTTAAAATACATAGTTCTATTTCTTTATATTGTATATCAGATTTTGTTCAAAAGTATTTGAAAATTATAAATACTGTGAGGATTAATTTATTCTCTTCTCATTAAAATCTTTCATTGGAAAGTTGGGTAATTGTCTTTATTTCTTCCTTGGAGAGAATGTTCATTCAGCTTGACTGTCACCTTCAGTAGACTAAGAAGCCCTCCCTACATCAGGAAACAGGGTTTCCGGGAAAGATGAGCTAAGCTGGAAGTGTGGGCAGCACCATCCCCTACGCTGGAGCCTGGATGGAGTGAAAGGGGACGGAGAAAGCCAAGTGGCACTGGTTCTGTTTCTGCTGCTTGGTTGTCTTAAGGTGGACTGAGCTGCTCTGTCCACCGTCCCTCCTTGCAGCCCCACCCCCAGCCCCCTTGAAATCATTCCCTCTGGCACTTGTCACAGCAACATAAGAGTCTTCTTTAAATGTAATGTTCGTTAATCTTTGGGAATTTCATTCAGGCAAAGGTCTGTTTTGATCATAATCACCACTCCCTCCCACAACCACATACTACTCTTCTGTAACTCCTCGCAGATCCACCCCACCTCTCACCACTTACCAACCTGTTGTCCTTTTCTTAAAATAACTACCAAGTCCAGTTTATGCTGCCCATTTAAGTGGCCATCCACCGGAGTGTAGTCAGCCTACCAGAAACTGCACCCTTAAAGAAAGCTAGCTCTTACTCGCCCAGAAGCCATGAGTGTCAGTAGCCCCTGAGATAGTGGTGGGTGCTCATCAGCCCCTCCCCTGCCAAGCTGGAATGTTAACAGGCTTGATCTTGGTTTTGTTGGGGTCTTAGGCAACCTCAGCTGCTGTGAGCTCATGAGTGCAGGTCTTGTTTGACCCTGATTCTCCCTGACTTCTGACCCAATCTTTAACAAAGCCTTAAGACACTCTCCTAGTCTGACATTTTATATTTTTTTCACAGTTTTTTTTTCAGTTGTGAGTATTGTAACCAGGCCTTTGTACATACCAGTCTAATGCTTTACCAGCTAAGCTATATCCTCCCCAACTGGCTTTTGGGGTTTTTTTGTTGTTGTTGTTGTTTTCTTTTCTTTCTTTTTTTCTTTTCTTTTTCTTTTTCTTTTTTTTTTTAATTGTTTTGGTCTCTGTCTGCTCCTTTGGATACAGCAAGGAAAATGCACTCAGAATGTTTAAGGCCCTGGGTTTAATTGCTAGATCGGCAGTTCCCAAAACAACTGCATGACAGAATCGTCTGAAAATGTTTTTGGTTTTTGTTTCTTTTTTTTTTTTTTGGTTTTTCGAGACAGGGTTTCTCTGTATAGCCCTGGCTGTCCTGGAACTCACTCTGTAGACCAGGCTGGCCTCGAACTCAGAAATCCACCTGCCTCTGCCTCCCAAGTGCTGGGATTAAAGGCGTGCGCCACCACTGCCCAGCGAAAATGTTTCTTCAATGCACTAATTCTGATTGATTGATTGATTGATTGATTGACTGATTGATCAGTCAGTTGATTTTGATTTTGCTTTAAGAAGGCTGCTTTGAAGCCGGGCAGTGGTGGCGCACGCCTTTAATCCCAGCACTTGGGAGGCAGAGGCAGGTGGATTTCTGAGTTCGAGGCCAGCCTGGTCTACAGAGTGAGTTCCAGGACAGCCAGGGCTATACAGAGAAACCCTGTCTCGAAAAACCAAAAAAAAAAAAAAAAAAAAGTCTTAAGCACTGATTGCTCTTCCACAGGTCCTGAGTTCAAATCCCAAAAACTACATGGTGGCTCACAACCATCTGTAATGGGATCAGGTGCCCTCTTCTGATGTATCTGAAGACAGTGACAATGTACTCCTACGCATAAAATAAATAAACCTTAAAAAGAAAAAAAGGCTACTTTGGGCATGTGGATATATATGCCTGTGATTGCAGAGACTTAGGAAGTGGATACAGGAGGATGAAGAGTTCAAGACTAGCCTAAGTAATATGGGGAGACACTGTTCTTTAAAAAAAAGAAAGTGGGGGAGGGGCTAGACAGATGGGTCAGCAATTAAGAGCCCCTGTTGCTCTTGAGAGGATCTGGATTTGGTTCCCAGCACACATTAACAGACTGCTCACTCTCTCCTGCGGCTCCAGTTTCAGGGGGTTTGAAACACACACACACACACACCCAATACATTCTGGCACCTCCACACATGGTGTACATAACTTATGCAGGCATGCATACTGTTGTGGTTTGAGTATGCTTGGCCTAGAGAGTGGCACAATTTGGAGGTGTGGCCATGTTGGAGTAGGTGTATCACTGTGGGTGTGGGCTTAAGACCCTCATCTTAGCTGCCTGGAAGCCAGTATTCTGCTAGTAGCCTTCAGATGAAGATGTAGAACTCTCAGCTCCTCCTGCACCATGCCTGCCTGGATCCTGCCACGCTTTCTGCCATGATGATACTGGACTGAACCTCTGAACCTGTCAGCCCCAATTAAATGTTGTCCTTATTAGACTTGCCTTGGACATGGTGTCTGTTTGCAGCAGTAAAACCCTAACTAAGATACATACATACACAAAAACTAAAAGTAAATAAATTTTGTGCTGTTCTTGGAACCTTGATAATTACTGTATTGTAGGGCTCGCTAGGATTATATCCATGGCTTTTTTTACAGAACTGTTAGGATCTAGTGACAGGATGTCTGGCTTTGATGGATTTGACCACTCTCTCCTAGCTCCTGTAACCCTCCTTTTTTCTTTCTCTCCCTTCTCCATACTTACCCTCGATCATCTTGCTATCTCCTTGTCTCCCTTCCCTCAGATGTCACTGTTGGCTGAGGTTGTGTTCCAGGCTCTCCACTTTGCCAGTAGATTATCTAACACCGCCAAATGACTTCACACAAGGTCTTTGCCCAGACATACACGTGACGATCTCAACCCAATCTCGGTGGCATATGCTTGACTTACGGCTGAGGACTCTTCGAGACTTAACTCTGGCAACAATAACATCCTGTCTGAAACTAACAACAATAATTACACAAAATGTGTATTTATAACCTGTCTCAAACATATAACAAAACTCTGACAAACTAGAACTCTTAAGGCCTACTTTGATGTCCTATAACCCTCCCCAAGTTGTTTCTTTTTTTTTTTTTTTCTTTTTTTTTTTTTTTTTTTGGTTTTTTTCGAGACAGGGTTTCTCTGTGTAGCCCGGGCTGTCCTGGAACTCACTCTGTAGACCAGGCTGGCCTCGAACTCAGAAATCCTCCTGCCTCTGCCTCCCAAGTGCTGGAATTAAAGGCGTGCGCCACCACCGCCCGGCCCCAAGTTGTTTCTTAACAGTCCTTCCGTCTTGCTCCTGCTCTTATTTGACAAAACCACATGTCCTGGTACTCTGCCACGTTTGAACATCACCACTTCAATCTGTTTTGTTTTCATTCATTTTCTTTCTTGCTGGAATACAATTCAATGAACTGTGAAATAAACTGATTTTTTTTTTAACAGTCTGGGGGCTGTGGAGATGGCTCAGTGATAAGGAATACTTGCTGGTCATGCTGAGACCTGGAATTCACTTTTCAGCACACACCAGGTGATTAATATCTGCCTATAACTCCAGTTCCAGGAGACTGGATGCCCTCTTACACCTCCAGGGTGACACACGGAGAAAAAAACATAAGTTTAAAAGTTGGGTTTGTATTTTAAATTATGTATATATGTATGGTTTGTATGTGTGAGAGCAATGCTCTGGAGGCCTGAAGAGGGTATTGAAGCCCTTGGTGCTGGAGTTAGAGGTGGTGGTGAGCTGTCTGAGGTAACTTGGTAAAAGCAAGTGCTCTTTTTAAAATTTTATGTTTTTTGGTATTTTGCCTGCATGTATATCTGTGCGCATGTATGTGCATCTAGTGTCTGCAGGGGCCAGAAGAAGGTGTGGGATTCTCCTAAATGCTTCCTAGTTTTATGTCACCTTTACAGAAGCTAGGATCATTTTGGAAAAGGGACCCTCAAATTGAGAAAATGCTCTACCAGATTGGCATATGGTACATTTTCTTGTCTGATTATTGATGTGGGAGGGCCCAGCTCTGTGTTCAGTGCCACTCCTGAGATGGTGGTCCTGGGTACTATAAGAAAGCAGGCTGAGCAAGCCCTGAGGAGCAAGCCAGTAAGCAGCACCCCTCCACAGCCTCTGCATCAGGCTCCTGCCTCCAGGTTCCTGCTTGAGTTCCTGCTCCCACTCTCCTTCAGTGATAGACTGTTACCTGGAAGTGTGAGATAAAATAAGCCTGCCCCCACCCACCCAAGCGGCTTTTGGTCATGGTATTGTATCACAGCAACAGAACTTCTAACTAAGACACCCTGCAGTCTGAATTATACATGTTTGTGAGCCACCATGTAGTTTCCAGGAAGCATACTGGAATCCTCTGTGAGAGCAGCCACTGTTCTTGACTGCTGAGCCATTCCCCAGGCCCACCCCCTAAGTAAACATTTTAAAGTCTGGGGCTGTAGCTCTGTGGTGGTTTCCCTAGAATGCATCAGGCCTTCGGATCCAGAACTAGGGGTGGGGGTGGAATACAACATTTCTGTGACCTAACCCATTTTCTGCAGGCTCTGACATGAAAATCAGACTCATCCAAAAGAGATACTTGATGAGGCCCGGGGGCGTTCTTTTTTCTCCCTCTCCCTTTACTTGGATACTTTCTCTTTAAGTCACAGCAATAGTTTCCTGACTGCTCCCTGCCTGACTGTCAGTCAACTATAACCCATCTATCACATGACCTCCTGAGGCTTTGTTAAAAATCAAGTCTGGGATCTGGAGTGTGGCTCAGTGGTGAAGAGCCCTGGCTGTGCTTCAGAGGACCAGGGTTTGATTCCAAGCTCTACATGGCAGCTCACAGCTGTGTGTCGCTCCAGTTCCAGGGTATCAAATGCCCTCTTCTGGCTTCTGCAGGGACCAGGCACACATGTAGCACTCAGACATACATGCAGGAAAACCACTCAGACACATAAAGATAAATCTGAAAAAAATAAAGTCCTCCCATATTCAAGGTCCACTTGGCTTTGCTTTTGCTTTAGAATTATCTTGAGGTTCCTAATAATGGTATGTGAAGCTCTTAATGTCCTGGAATCTTCCTTGCCCGGCATGAACCCTGTTTATAGACCAC